TTTCACTATTTACGAGCTTTAAAACATGATTTATAAATTCATATGGATTTATATTAGAAAAGATCAAGTATTTTTTATATTTGAATCATCAAAAGATATATAAATGTAAAATTTTCTTTTAATTCTTTCATTCTGTAAATATGACCACAGTTTTTTAATTCATTTCTATCTCCGACCTAGAATTATTGAGCGTCATACATTTCTCAGAGACTTATAAAACAGAAATCTGTTCTAGAATGTATAAGTAATCCGTAATTTTTATGGAATAAAAAAACCTTAGGGAAAATATTTTAATTAATTAGAAATCCCGTATTAGCCTCCATGAGAACGTGCCTGGCTTACGCTTTTATGTTAATTTTAAACCTCTCATTTGAATGCCTTCTTAATACAAAAAAATTAAAAAGAAAAATACTTCTTCTTTAGCCTTAATTAAAATATGAAAGCAACTCATGTCTAAGTTTTATTACATAAACAGTGTTGCTAACGAAAAAAGTAATAAATAAATATATAACACAAAAAATGTTCTTATAAATAGAGTTATAATTAATGAATTTAATATAAACTAACACGAATAACATTGAAGTATTTAAATTCGTTTTGAATAAATATAAGACAAAAGGAATGTAGCAGTATATATTATATAGGTACTGTAACATCTGGCAGCCGACGATGCAAATGGCTCGGAAAAATGCAAATATGTAAAGAGTACCGCAAACTACCGTAGCCAATTTTCATACCGAGTTTAGGTAACAGTATCGCGCAGACCATAAACTTATTTAAATTAAAAACATTCTGAATCCCATTTGAAAAACCAAACAAGCTTGAATATTTGATAGAACAGAAATATATAACTATATTCAGGATTTCCATGGGTTTTTAACAGTCTCAGTTAGTTGCTTTTATTTCTATATCTCATTAATTAATAAACATATACACGACATTTCATATAATTACAGATCTAGTATTTAATAATAAACAGAATCCCAGTCTACCGCAGCCTTTTCTTATTTTCATCTTCTGTATCTTTTTTTATTATAATACACCTTGTCTTATGTTATTTTATTCTTTAGGAGAAGTAAGCAGTATATTTTTTTATACATTTATTTAGAGTTTTTTTTATTTAATACTTTAAAATGTAATGGAAACTTATTTTAAAAGTATGTATATTCATATTTCACTCTTTTAGTTTAACTAACATCATTTTAAAACTGTTATTACCAATAATAAGCCTTATTTATTTACTTTTGTTTTTGGAAATAATATGACTGGTTGATATAAATCTTCAACTCAATGTAATGAAGTATTAATCTTCATTCCAGAAGATGCTTGTAATGAACTTTCATTACCAATCTATACTATATTCCTTTTGATATTTCTCTTTTCCATCAATAGCGTTTTAGGAGTCAGCGAGTTAAAGATAACTAAGGCTTGTAAACAAAAAAAAACTCTCGACTTGTATGACATATTTGTTCCCATATGTATGATTATAGCCCCCTAGACCATACTCTAAAATTTTCTCCTTATACTTTGAAAGTCACAGAAATGTTTTCACTGTTTTATATAAAAAAAATGTGCAGCGACTAGGTACTAAATCTACATCTTTTTTTACTAAAGACATTTTTTCCCTTTCCTCTGTTTATTTTTTCTTTTATTCAGGACTCCCACAACTTTTCTAAAGGTGATGTAGGACGTATGTCTAATAAATAATAAAAAGCCTAAGTGTTCTCATCTTACTTGACATTACAAACTTTGAAGTATCGCTGAATATTTTCCTCACTCTTTACATCTCATGTTCTCTAATTTATTGAATTGAAGTTATATTATTTAAACGATCTCAAAATATCAGACTTAAAATTAAAATTATGAAATATATAAAGACATTGATACGCGATATTTCGAAGTTTGCAGATCGAGTCCTGATTTGGTCATTTGGTTTCTCATTCTATACATCAATATTTCTTGTTGTTTATAAAAGAAAACAATTTCTAGTTAATACCTTTATGCAAATAATTCTTAGATTTATGGCAACAACCTAATTGAAACATCTATTATTACAAATCTTGAAATACGCGAAGTAGGCTACAAATAAGCATGTACATACATATTTTGAGAAACTAAACCTACTCGTTGTCACTCTTGTATTTGTTTTACATTGGAAGCAATATTCCTTTACTATATAACACAAACACATGAATACATCTGCATAGAAAATCTAGATATGAAAAAAATATTTTCATATAAATGTTGGAGGAAGTTTACTTGATAAAAGGCACGTGGGAGTAAAATTACGGTGCTTTCGTTATAGAATGATCCCACAAGGATTATAAATAACCTGTACCGTATAAACTGTCACGTAAAACGGAGCATATCAAAACTTTTTCATTTTAGCCTTGAAATATAAATGTTCTCAACTAACTTTGCGTTTCATGACTCCAACGTGATAAATATTCAATGAATATAAGATAAAACATCCCTGATATTACTATTCCTAGGCTATATTTATGATATCTTTTCACAAGTCTGTCTGCCATTAGGATAGGCGGTAACTATTGATTCTCCAGACATGATTATAAACCGCCTCTTTCATACTCGTAGTAACCATATTCATATGTTTGAATTCAAGAATAATGAATTTCAATTATGTTTGCTTCCAATTGCTCGAAAAATGCTTTTCGTAACTCCATTATTTCATTCTTTGTCTTGCTAATTTCATTCAACAAGAGCGTAACATGTATTTCTAATGCTAATAATAAAGTTATGTTATAAAAATAAATCTTAATACTGTGAAATAGTTTTAATTTCTTTCTGATGCAGTTTTTTGAGTACGTATATTTTTATGTCTCTTCCATATTACGATAAACATGAATTATTATAAAGATCTCACAAAAAATCAGTAATTATTCTTGTATCAGATACGTCAGATTTTAACGTTATTAAGATTATACCTTAATAATAACTTTGTCAAAAAACGATTAGCCAAATGTGGCATACTGGAATAACAATTTCCTGCCCAAAATAAAATAAAATTTGGCAAAACAAAATACGATCGGTTTTTCTTAATGAGTCTATTAATATCATGATTCATAATTATGCTAAAATAAGGTTTATCTTATGAATAAATTCATTTCTTTAATTAGACAAGGCTATCAGGTGTATCGGATACGGGACGATTTAAAGAGAATTTTACCATTTATTTGGTTTGTTTCACATGAAAGGAAGATTATTTTAATAATGAAAATATTGGAAAAAAAATCATAATTTAGTTATTTAATCTTCAGTATAGATTAAAAAATCTTCCTACATTAATAATTTCAAATTTTAAATAACTTTTACAGTTCATCATTAGCACATAAGAGTTTTATCGTATTATTATAATGTAAGCAGTAAATTTTAAATTTATTGAATATCTCCACTGATGTCACTGTAATTCAGGAAGCTTCGCTTATCTTCGTCATATTCACCTGCTTAGGACGACGTATTCAACTCAATATGACAAGGTCTTATAAGCATTTTGCTTTTCAAACATCGGCTTCAATTCCACTTGTATAGATTTTTGGGTGAATTTTACAATAAAGTATGTGATGAGTGGGGAGTTTTAAATCTTTTTCCATGAAATCAGATGCCAAAGTTTATTTATATCATTGCTTAATTGTAATTTTGACAAAACGAATAATACACCAATTTAATACAGTAAAAGGATTGGAAAAGGTCATATTAGAACCGCAATATTCTAGAACAATTAACTTTTTGCAATGCCTCTTAAAAACAGTGATACCTGATTAAAAAAAAGTTTAAAGTAAAACCAAACAACTATAATATACTGTTAGTAACAATTATTTATAATGATTTAAATATTTGTCTACTTGAAAATTCTAAGCTTCACGTTATTGATATTCTAATATTTATTGGGAATTCTTATGATAGTCAACTAGCGCCATCTATATTCGTTTCAGTAGTGTCAATTAATGTTTATAATATTTCTGTACAGTAATTTAAATGTCCAAATACTTGACAAATGGTTTTATAATTTATAATTAGAGCCTTAGACCCAGTTTCACCAATCATAGTTAAATAAGTAACATCGTGTTAAGGCGTTTGATGCTCTGTTAGATGCATCGAGCTTCCCACTACGCACATATGTCCGTTTAAATGACTTAACCAGCCACTAATATTAATTCCTGCTCTGGAGCTCCGTCTAATGGCTAAAAGAATGTTAATGGCATTGTCAAAACTTAACTGTCCAATCACAGCCCTGATTTCTTGTAACCATAGTAACGTCATCTGTTTTGTCAGTTTCGACTATTTCCTTGTATTTAATAATAAAGTGAATTAAAATTTCATTTCCTATTATGATTTTGCCTACAGCTTTTTTATAACATTGCAATTTAAATTTTCTTTTTATCTCTTATAATTTGAACACAGTTTATGCCTATATTTATAACATAATAATATGTATATAACACAATTTATTGACAACCCGATTTTGACAGTCAATTGAAAAGAAAGCTTTTTGTGTGCCAAATGTATGCTAGCAACTATATATAAAATTTGGTCGCATTACCTAACAAGTGACGTATCGAGGGATATATACGATTAAAGTATAAAGTGGTGCATCGTGGCATACGTGCCTTATTAAACGTTATAGTTTCCATTTGGTCGTCTTATAACAAGAACGAATAAATTGGTAGTCGGTCATTTGACATGACGTTTAATAATGCGTTGTTAATTTGTCATCGTGGGACGTAAAGATTTTAACAGACATTTATAATTTTGTAGGTTGGTTAGTAAATGCTGGGTTTAGATTAAACAAACATTGATTGGTGAAACTGGGACTTATTATGTTTTACACAATGTTAAGTGTTTTATTATTTAATGGAAAGTCTATGAGAGGTACTAGCCTAATATTATAACCCACCCTCATCTAAATGTTACTTTTGAATATTATAAATACGATACAAGTGTTAGACTAAATATAATTCTAACAATACTTTTTCTTTCAGCTGGACTGGCTATTCTCAGACAACAGTCCAGTGACGTCACTAGCTGGTCTGAGAAAAGTGCTGGCCAATGGATCCCTGGAGCTACCACCGTTCCCAGCTGATAGATACCGCAGGGACGTCCACGCTGCCACTTACAGATGTCGACTGAGACTGAACGGTGGTTACGTACTGTCCAAGAATATACATGTACATGCTGGTCAGTATACATACATATACTTCACTAATATCGTGGTCATAGGACGGCTTAGTTTTACTTTTTTACCTGTGAATACTTGAATTGTTAGCAATTTTTTTGCTTTCAAATTGGTAAAAAAAAATTGTTAGAAATAAAATGCTACGATTTAAATCAAAACCTCACAAACACTACAAAAAGTTTATTATTTTCAAAGCTAGAAAAAAGTTTCAAATAGAAAAAAAGAAAAAATCACTTACACGACAATTTTAATAATGTTAATCTTTGAACATATACAAGTTTGATGCAATTCATTTTTTCTTGTGTGTAATTCATATGTAACGTGGCTTCTACTGCATTTCATGTAATCGGCATTCAATAAGTATTTACTTCCAGTATTAAACATACCGTGGGAGGTTCGCGTGCCAGATGAGTACGTGATGGCAGGAAACTCGGCCATATTGAGATGTACAGTGACTCCGCGCTGTGCCGACAGAGTCGAATATACAGACTGGCTCACAGACGACGATACTAGAATCCTAGATTACTTAGGTAATACTTTATATTATTATATAGAAAAAACTTAATTAAACATGAGAACATAAGTACTATTGTGATTTTTATAGGAAGAAGAATTTGCTTGAGGAATTACGATGGAACTGTCATATTTAGCTATATAAATATAGTATACCAATTTATTTAATTCACCTATACTTTACAGTCCTATAAGTCCTGATCTAATATCATAGGCAGTTCGTAATTAATAATGCTTTGTATTTTCTTCGTAAAAAAGATAACAGTGCCTTAAGATCATGAAGAACGTGATCAGAACTAAACTGAGGCAATTGAAGATAAAAATATTTAAGATACAATAGACACTTTAAAAAACTACTGAGAGCGATTACCTTTAAAAATGTCTAGGCTTTTCACAGAATTAACTATATATAGGCTTTAGATTTTTTCTTATATTACATAGTTCCTAATGTAGTATTATTACAGCTAAAGATTTGTAAATAAATCTCAGACATACAGAATGCATTATGTCGACATAAAAACAATCTGAATAATATTATAAAACCATTTAATTTTGTCAGCAATGCAGACCTTTTAAAGAAACATGAAAGGAAAGAACATTTGAGAAAAATATCAGCGACAGAGTCATACAATTTTTCTTAATAAAACACACTTCGTGTGAGCGACATTTGAGATTAGGTTTTTATAATATATCGTGTGTTCCAGAAAATTTAAGATTTATAAATAAAACGAGCTCTTTCATCTACAGACGAGGAAATATAATTAACGTTACTTTACCATTTATAATTTTATTCATTTTATTTAGAAATATCTTACCTATATACTTAGATTAAATAATGGCTTCATTATCAAAGACTATCTTACATGAATTGAACCGTATAAAACAATTTAGGCGCATAGAATTTCATTAGAAGAAGTGCATATAGGTTAGCATAGCTATTTGTTGAGGCGGAAGAACATTGCTACAGTGTTACCTTTGTATCTGTTACGCGAGCTGGATTAGAAATTCATTTGATTCCATTTAATATGTTAAAAGCCTAGCTAAATTAACGTTAAATTTATTTACAACAAAATCAATTAAAGTATCAAACAATCACTAACAATACGTAGTAATTTAAAGTCTCGACGCAACATAATAACATTTTCATTATATTTAATACAATATGATAACTATACAAAATATTACAATACCCCCAAAATCCAAATAAAAAGACCCCTTCATAGCATGATATAAACAAAGGGTATTGTTTCAGGTTCGAAATACTCTCGTTTGGACGACGGTTCGTTGTACATAAGTGAAGTGCGTCACGGCGAGCGGTACTCCGCCTTCCGTTGCACAGTCCGAGACAGACTCACTGGTTCCGTATATTCTAGTCAATATTTTGGTAAGTTAAGTGCTTTCTAGAACTAAGAATGATGTGTGTTATTAATACGTTATAATTTGATGAAGACCATCCAAAAGAAAATCCTATCAAGTCTTAATATTTTAAGATGTTATTCATTAACTTAGTTGAGTTGAAATTTGACATATTTTATCGTAGTCAAGTCATAGATTCACATAGAAATATTTTGTTACAAATATATGTATGTTTGTAGGTCACATAATAGTGACGGAACCAAAGGGGGGAGTTCGGCCGAGGGTTTCTGTGGAACCCCGATTACGAAGAGTGCCCGTGGGTCAAGATATACGGTTACCTTGTGCCGCTCACGCATGGCCTGTACCCAGCTACAGGTAAGAGTTACTTATTTCAGCAACTGCCTCAAAAACTAATAAATGTAATAAATTATTAAGTTGTGCTTCTCATACATCAAAACATGCCAGCACGAACTGAAAAAAAATACTTACTGCTATCAAAATTCAAATAAAGTATCGTAAAAAATTATTTTTAAGCCTTTTTCCAGATATACATATAATAATGCCGTAATGTCAGCTCATATCACCTGACAAGTGGGTTTAAAACACATCTCAATTAAAAGCCTTATAATTATAGGATTAATACGTTTTTAACTTACCTAAATCATTATTCTGTATCCATTTAATAAATATAATAATTCCGTTACATTTAACACCACCTCAGTAATTCTCGCTTCGTAAACCCAGACGCTTTTTTTTTTGTATCGTCTCCCGCTGATATAATTTTCTGTGGGATTTTAACACAATTTTGTAACCCCACGCGTTGTGATTCGGCTTAAAATTTGTTGAAGCCAATTTAACCGCGGCATTACCAACGATTATCTTATTTTAGAACAGAATAATATACGATATTAATTTTTTTTCTCTAAATTTGCTAAAAATATATAGAAAAAGTTTTATAAATTACAAAGTACTAATTATAAATTCCAAAGTAAAATACCCATTAAAGTTAAAACTTTTCGTAATATTTAATTTTCTTTTTAACTTCTAAGGTATAATAATCATTGGTAAATTCTTTAACGATGTATAATTTTTATTTCAATTTTATATATGACCTTTAATCCGAATTAATTACTTCTGTTACCTATCTATGAATGTAATAACTGTAAAATAAAATTATCAAAGGAAAGTCAAAGGTACATTTTATAATACAGTTAAAATATGTCGTAGTTTGACTCAACAGTTTTAATAGAATTTGGAAATTCAAGATATTCTCAATTTCGAAATACCATTTCGTCAGTCATATAACGTGACTAAAAATATGTTCTTTCGTTTATTTGCTTAATGATACAATTGATTTTTCACACTTTAAATTCAATCAATACAATTAATTAAATTGAAATATTTATTTTATATTATCTTTAAATATAATTAAAATATCATATAAATGTATTTTTATGGTTCTTATTACTATAGGCGGCAATTTAATTTGTAAAGAATCTTGTGACCTACTTACACACTAACACAAACATATATATATACATATATATTATACACACACACACAAATAAGATATATATGATAAACAGAAAATGTATTACCGACGTCAGAATACTTCAGACATACTTGCACGATGTTTACTTGGGCGTGCCAACGGAATGATCAAAGTTGATAGTCAAACATTGCTGCACTCACGGTACCCCAAACTGCGGAATATTTGTGAACTCTTCCTATTTGTATTACAACCACGACAAGACAAACGTAATCCGACCAAATCTTATATTCAAAGTTCTGTCATTAGCAACCAAACTTGAAGCATTCACAATTCTCCCGAGATGTGACCTAATTACTTAAAATCTTACAAATAACGTTATAATTTTATTTAATAAAAATGTGTATTACATTGCTGATAACTGTTAGTCGAGTATTCATTTAAATGAAACTAATATTATTATAACTACGCGTATTTTATTATTTTAAAACTCATTTAGGACATTCACGCCTCGTCTGCCAGTGATCACGGTTGCTGAAAAGTAACCGAAACGTCGGAAGTATGTAGTTATTTAAATTAATAAAATACTTGTAGTAATCCTAATAATATTAGATTCAAATAACTGTTACTTTGTTATCTAATATTGATTATGCAACTGTGTAGTAAAATCCTCTGCTTCGCTTGGAATTAAAACAAATTTGTTAAATAAATTGTATATCTTGATTGCAAGAATTCATAACGTGAGCAGAATTAAGAAATAGCATACTCATAGGATTTTATATTACATATGCAAATATCTATCTACTTATGAAGTTTTAAAATTATCATATTAGTCGAATTTTTATCAGGATATTTAATTTCATATAGCAGATATTCACTTAATAATATTTAAAAACCACAAAAGAAATTCTCTTTTCTGAGATTCTGAACAAGATATGCATTTTCAAGAATTTATAAAGCGACCAAATTACCAAAGACGATAGAACTTTCAAAACTTAAGAGCACAGAAAATTAATATAAATGAAAATATTAATTTATTTCCAGCATAACCGATTTCCAAAGTTGGTGTAACTCTCTTTCGACAAATTATGCTAAAATTGGATGTGAAATATTCGTTTTTAATAATTAACTGCTCAAATATGCCGACATTATTTACTCAGTTACTAAATTTCCGCAATTTGGTAAATTTGAGGGAAATTATGTTATAACGTGATTTTCGATTTGCGTGCAGTATGTCGATACTGGGTCGCTAGAATCGAGTTTCGTTTGGTTAATGAGAATTTATTATATGTTAGTAAGGAACTCAGATTTTATTTCAATATTATAAAATTTCATATAAAGGACCATTGAAAGCACCCAAGTTAGATAGATATAAACTATATTTTTTTAATGAATATTCATATTGGACAAAGGTACAATACAAGGTACAATACACTTATATATTCTTCCAATACTTTTTAATGAATCAATAATTTGAATTAAATAAGTAATGTAGAATAAAAAAATTACAAATACGACTAGGAATTGAATCTGTAACTTCAAGAAGATCGCGTTCAAGTTATTAATTTCCTAATAATAAGTTTTACTATCCGAAACGAATAGAGCAGACAATTAATTGAAATTTTAAAATAGAAGTGAAGAAATATTCTTACAAACTTGTCAAAAAAGCAGCGTGATTGTCGTTAATCAAAAAAATTACAAACCTTTTTACATAATTACTATTTATGTCTGAAATAAACTTAGGTCCTTGTAATCTCTGGTAAACCCTTTCACAAGATCATGAAACTTTATTGCAAGTACAATGATTTATATCGCAATTTTCTATAACAATATCATCCTTCTTTGTTCCTCTTAATGTCAATAATTAAAGTTTGTATTTGAGATTCCTTGTATTAGTAAAATAAATGTGTTCACAATGTTTGTGGGCTTTTTTATCTATACCCTTGTGCTGCTATTCCGGATTTGTACGATTCACAAAAAAAAAACGCGGGGATATTTTCCGATTTTATCGTGATACTCAAATTTATTATTGATGTTAAAACTGCGATCAACTTCTATTTTGTATGTGTAACTTTTTGTTATTTAAAAAATACCTATGTTTAAAGATGAAATACCTAAGATTATCCAAAGCCTTTAAGTTCCCAAGTAAGCTATTGTATCCCTCTTTCAAACTTTCCAATTTCTGCATAGCATAAACATTTTTAATAGTTAAATTTGCCATAGTAAGCTAACCTAAAGATAGCGGACTTTTATGTAGACCTATAAAAAAGGAAAATTCTGCCATCCTCAAGCGTTATATCTCAAAGGCATTAAGGTAGCGCTTTCACTGAAAGTGCTGACTGGATTTTTGCCTCCATTTCGAACAATTATTATCATATTCCAACTAATTTACACAAAACCTTAACAAATTACAGTTTGAAATGTTCAATTGAATTACTCTATTTATAAACGAAGTGGTAAAATTATTTTCCTTTTTTAAAACTTTTGTGTTATTCTTTCACAGAAAGATAATAATCACATACCTATTTCTCAATTTCTTTTGTACTAATGAATAATACAATAATTATAGTTTATATAAACATTATATTGTTTTTTTTATTAGAAACATACGGCCGATATGTTTTACGACGTTCCATTCAGTAGAATTTATGTTATATTTTACATAAAAAAAACAGTTTTCGTTTCTTTTGTATATATAACATAGTTCACAAATTTACTTTTTACGGTCCCAGCACACTTTCCAAATATTAAATACGGATTTTGTAGAAAGAGAATTGTACAGCTGGTAGTTTACAATAAGATTTTCTGCAGAATTAGTGTTCCTTGTTCTTCCTTATTTAGTTCATATGAATATCAAATTACTTCAGATTAATTTGTGGATTGAGATTAAAATATATATGTAGATAGGGTCCTCTTTAACTCCTTTTTGGGTTGCAAGTCCCAGGCAATGTTGAAGCTCCTCGCAGTGCACCCGCACGGTGAATCCATTGAATGCTAAGAGGTTTCGTCTCTGTATACAGGTGGTTTCGTGAGCACCATGAGGAACTGACTCCCATAGAGCAGACTTTACTATGGCCCCGAGTGACAGTGATGAAGGGTCTGCTGATTATTCAGAGAGTTCAACGTGAGGATAGTGGCAGGTTCATATGCTGGCTGAACAACACCGTTGGAGTTGAATCCGCTCATTTCACACTCATTGTTACAGGTATTTAAATATAATATGATAAATTTAACTAATTCCTAAGAGTCTTAGGGAGAAATTAAATGGTCTTGTTATTTTCAGAACCAATTTCCGTCCGAATAAAACCAGAATTATTAAAAACAAAACGAAACGTGGATGTCAATTTCGATTGCAAAGTAAGTGGTCATCCCATTGAAATAGTTTATTGGACCCATGATGGAAAAGTTGTTAAGAATTCAGAAAGGGTAAGGGTTTCGGAAGATGGACTGCGATTACATATCAGGAACACTCAGCAGAATGACCAGGGAATGTATCAATGTTTTGCGAGTAATACGAGAGACCAAGCATACGGAATCACGGAATACGTCATCGATGGTAAGTCATGAACTATTCAGACTTTTCCCCCTTTCTTGTTAAAAAGCAGACGTGTCATCACAAGACTAACTAAATATATATAAAATTTAATCAAACTTAAATTAGTATGTTACTTAATTAAACAAAAATCCACACACCGAAGTGAGAGTTACTTGTTTGTTTTGTGCTACTTGACAGTTTGGAAACGAAGTTACTGTGTAGTGCTAATTAATATTAAATTATCACAGTATTAACTACATAATAAGTGTAACAAGTCATCAAATTATTGCTACCCAAAATGTTAATGATAATAAGGAAACTAATGTGTTATCACTTAATTTAGTACATTAAAGATTTTCATTGATATATTTGTAAATGTTTTGTTAATTAAGAACAGTTCAAACTACTAAATTAAAGTAATATTGAAAATGAAATAGTGTAAAATCTGTTTAGTTTAAGATACCTAAAGATAAAACAGTAAATAGCGTAATGTTTTTAAATCTATTAAATAGTTGTAATACGAAAGGTTGTTAATTCTTATAAAATATATATTATATTTATAATAGATGTGTGTTTGCTTATTTTATTATTATTATATAGCAGCTGACAGCCGACCACGATCTGTTGGTAATCGCTCCCGACGGGCGCCTTACGCACGCAGCACGCATACTCACGACACCGATTGGAACTTTACTGGAACAAGAGGTATTTGATATAGATATATATATACATATGTTAGCATATATATTGTGACATTGTATTTGAATGGAGAAAGAAGAAAAGATTTTAATATAATAATATAAACTACTGACTATGAAAAGTATCCTAAAGTCTTATCTGATATATAGAATTCTCAAATGACAAAGTTTTTATTGCGTGGGTATATTATAAATTTATTTTTAATACAGATGACAAAGAATAAAGTTAGACGTTGAGGCTTTAAGTCTGATCGTTCGTACCTCATTTATACCCCGGGGTATGGCCTTATTACATCTTATACCTGTTCAAGGCAAACGCTAAATTAAAAAATACACCGAAACTCGGCTAACGGTAAAAATTTCTCTTGGGTTAATATTAGGTTATGATTTCATCAAATTTAGAATGAATAAAGTTTTCTTTTATTACATTTTCTAACGTGTACGACTGACAATATTATTTTCTTTAAATAAATCCTACTTTTTGCGTATTATTTACTTAAAAGTTATATATATTATAAGTTTCAAACAAATGTATATTTCTTGCCGCGTCATATAAAAATTAAAAAAGCAAATTTTTTACCGCGGATCCGCTGCAAGCTATTAGAGTTAGCTCTTCAAACCAACAAAGAGCCTCGGTGACGGCGTGTGTGACGTAACTGACGCTACCATAAAAAGCGAACCGCAAATTGCAAATCAAAGTACTATCACTGCGGTTTAGAGTACATTTTAGATTTAACTATTAAATACATACGTCGTTGCTTCTATTATTAATAATCTCCCGCTATTTGGTGTCGCTACTCCCAAGGGTTCGAGTACCATCGCAATGCACACACGCTCATTAAAATATAAAAGCTATATAATAAAGACATTTACTTAATTTGAAGTCCTACAGTTTAATTAAACTACCAAACCAATGTACCAATTTCAGTTAAATACGATATAACGCCATTAAAAAAACAGAATAGCTAATAACTTATGCCAAATCCCCAACGAGAATAAATTAACCGAATACACTCGTTTACTCGAGATGTTTAAAACATGAAAGTCCAACATTTTATAACGCATAAAACCGACCGTAAATATTCTGGTAACACCAACCTTTTAAAATATTTCTCATGTTAAGCGGTGGACAAAAATGTTTGCTGTTAAACACAGGGTAAATGAAATCTATAACGTGAAGGGTTGTCGCCTGTGTACGAGACGGGGTGGTTCAATAAATTATGCACGTAACTCTTTGTTAATATACCCAATTTGTGGCGAGGCGCCAAATTTATATCGTACCATCCCTTACCTGCGTCATCACTCGCCATAAATACGGAAATTTATGAACATTTATTTTTTCGAATGATTTTTATGACGAATGATATCCGTTAATAAAAAAAAATAATAATTCTCATCCTCTATTGACCCCGATTTAACAGTTCCTAACACTTTCCTTGCTATCTATATAATTTGAAAATATAAACTAATATGTATGTATGTTTGAGAAACGGCGGATTATTTATTGAACCTGATTGATCTAGAGCTAATAAAATACGTAGATAATGAGTTAGCGTAATCCAAAACGTGTGTCATGTTGATTATACAAGCTTCTATGCCGATATATGAGAATTTTTAATTTGGCACTTGATCAAAATAGGAATTAATACCAGCAGAGGTATGGATCCAAATAATTATAACGATAATGAACCGATGAAGAAATAAACTAAAATATATATATACGCTTAACAACAAATTCTCACAGCTATCATATTCTCAGTTGCTTTTAATATTTTTACGTAACATTCCCGGTCGTTAAAATTTCAAATTCTAAAGCGTCCTGTATTTGTTCAGTTTTGTTTATCTCCGTTATTTCATTCCAGCGTTGTAACATTTTTCCTGTGAGGAGACTATAACATATGAATATCTACCGAAAAAAAAATTGCTAACATATTACGTAAAGCGAGCTGAAAATATAAACGAATATATTTATATTTTTTTTATTTATGAAAATATTTTTTAAATGAATTCCATTTTAATGCGTGATTAATTTATACAGTATTGTTTCATTTAAAATGTATGTATAGTGTTGCGTTCGTATAAAAATATGCTATAAGAAAAATAAGTATGGCTTCCATTGTTGTTCTATGAATGGCTATTCAAATTGCATTTCATTGTTTAATTTTAATATAAATAATTATAACCCACTTATATTAATAAAAATATTTTTTTTAAATAAATTTTCTTGTTATATTAGAATGAATTTAGCGAATTCTTGAGTAGATTAGGTGAAGAAACAAAGAGTTTTAAAATAATTACTAAATGGAACTCTGTCTGAAACCCCAAAAGGGAACAAAAAAAGAAAGGCTTAATTTATCAAAGGAATCAAGATGGAAACATGATTGTCGGTGGAATTTGATACTCTTGTAAGAAAGAAAAGTATACAAATAATACTTATATTTAAATATAATTTTATTATATATATGTATATAAGATATTTAATATCTAAATTCTTTCTTTCCATTGTCTCTGTATGCGGTTCATGTCCAGTAGGAATAAAAAAGTAAAAATTTATATTGTTAGTATAATTAATGCGCTGTCTGAAAAAGTTTGCTATGCATACAAATTTATTTTAATTCAAATATTTTACAGAAAAGTACAATTTCTAGGAAGTTTAATACAATTTTGCTGTGTTATATAAACTTCAGTTTTAATTTTATGCGAAATCGTGCCCGCGCGCTACTTTTTTGGATTTCAAGATTTCCATATTATGTATATACAGCTGAAGTATTAATATTATATTAATGACGAGAAATAGTACAACGAAATAGTTTTTCATAGTTAATTTCTTATCAAAACAATTCTATTAGGTTAACCAACTTCACTTAATCAAAATTTAATAAGTTAAATTGAATGATCTTTCAGTTTTCCCAATAAAACTTTTATGTTATATAATAGATAGTATTATAGAAGCTATTGAAAAATGATGCTGACATCTGATACGTGAAAAAGGCGGATTTTGAGATGTGGTCGTAAAGCCTTGATGCTGAGTCAAATCAAGTTAAATATGTAGATAGCATGTGTTAATCCTCATGCATTATGTTTATCTGTGAGCTTTAAAAATAGCAATGTAGATAAAACTAAAATCCTCACAAATTAGCATTTAAAGTACTAATTTAGAGTTCTTTATACTTATTTGTAGTGGAAAATACAATTTATCTACTAATCCTATGTATAAGGACCGTAGAGAATTTAATGAGGGGATTTATTATACTTTATTATTGGTTGACCAAATACTTAGTCTTTATTAGGTTCACGTAAAATTTTCAGTAGTTTCTGAAAGTAAATGTATTCGCAGAATCAAAGCCGGAGTTGGTGTACTGGTTTTCTGAGCAAACCCTGCAGCCTGGACCTAGCGTGTCCCTGAAATGTGTAGCCATGGGACATCCGCCTCCACAATTCACGTGGTTACTAGACGGGTTTCCTATACCTACAAATTCAAGGTAAACAAACGTCAAAGTACCAAAACTATTAATTATAGCACCAATATAATACAAAATAATTAGAATTAAAAAATGCTTTTTATGTAAAATGGACAAATTACATTACTTTTTAAATAACATTTCTTGTTTGTACCTTAGATTCGTCGTTGGCCAGCACGTGACACTTCAAGACGACGTTGTCAGCCATCTTAACATAAGTCGTGTGACAGAACAAGATGGCGGCGAGTACGCATGTGTTGCCAGTAATTCAGCGGGAAAAGCGATCCATGCGGCAAGGGTGAACGTGTACGGGTTGCCATTTATACGGGAGATGCCCAAAGTTACGGCTGTTGCAGGCAGTGATTTGAATATTAAATGCCCTGTTGCTGGATATCCTATTGAATCAATTACATGGGAAAGAGGTAATTTAGATGTATTTTATTTCATGCCAAAATTTATTTTGAAGTATAAGTTTCAGTATTTAAATATCTTTAGTTAACTTATATTTGTTTTGCTTTGAAATCAATGTGTTCGATCGAATTACACGTTACTTTCTAATTAACTTAGGTTTTTATGTAGATCGTTAACAAGGCCTTGTTGTGTATGCATTTCTTTGAACATCTAACTTGTACACAATTATAATTCTTTGTGTTTTCCTTGAATTATTTTCACAAAGAGAAAGTGGAAAAAAACATCTAAATTCATCTCATTATTCAAATAGAGAAATACAAACAGGATTAAAAAGGATAAAGAACAAAAGAGTATCGAATTAAACTGAGGGAGTCCGCATAACTTTCGACTAGCAACAGGTCGTTAAAGGAAATAGGTCAAGTGGGGAGATACATAAAGAAAAACACCATATAAAATTACAATTTCAATGTAACAACGCCTTCCGATCCGACTTGACGTCATGTAACCAATTATTTCTACTGACTTTTGATATTGCCAGAACAAAAATATACAGTATAGAAAGAAAATATTTTTGATTTATCCTTATATATTTTATTGATTATTCATTACAACATAGTGAAACTTAAGTTTATATTTACCAAAGTAATTAAAACATTTCAAAGTATCTACTAAAACCTATATCTGTCACGATCAAAGGCGTATAAAGAAAATATCTGACCGTAAAATCCTTAGCTCGTTTAACAGAATTACCGGGTAAGATCAAATTAAGACTCGCTGGTCACTCCTCCGTAATTTTCGTTTTCCCTCTGACCCTTGTCAACAACGTTCTTATCTTTTCATAGAAAACTCTCATTACTAAACAGACTTTATTATATTACTGATCATTTGCGGAAACTCTTACAATTTTGGACTAAATAGCGTAAGTAAAAACCATTTATAAATCCCCTTAAAAAGGAAATAGATTGAGGGTATTGTGTAATAAAAATAAATGTTTAAGACCTTTAAATACTGTAGATACAAAATAACCTTCGAAAACTATTGTGTAGTATAATACATTATCCTTTAAATTGAATTAACTGATTTCTTTTACGCAACATCAACCAATACACAAAAACTACATGTTTATTCGGTAATGTTTATTTTTTACCAAAATATTAAGACAAAAAGAATATTAAAAAATATTTATAATGACCGTCTTATTGTTTGTATTTTGGTTGTGTAAAGAAATTAGTAAAAAATATTTCTGTAATGAGATCTCGTCTGTCCGTGATCATGGTTACTGAAAAGTAACCGAAACTTCAGTAGTATGTAGTTTTTTATATGTATCCGAAAAATATTAGCTTCATTTTTAAGAATATCACCCATACTTGGCCTTTAAAGCCGAGTATCATAAGTTAAAAAAAAAACTTCAATAGGTAGGTATGTTAAATGTTACGTAATTGTGTAGAAATGAATTCTAAAAATCTAAAAGTAATGAAAAAAAGTTACGAAAAATTAAACTTAATCCTTGTTTTCTATGTACATATTTATATATTTTTTATATATTATGAATATTTTAATGTCGTTCAATTCAATTGGAAATATATTATTTAGATAATTAATTATTTTTTTCAACGTTTCATATCACATACTCGTATATTAAATATACATTATATACATATTTTATTTTCACTGACTATTAGTTTGTAAATCAGTACTTGTTTGCTTAATTTTTATAAAAGTACTGTGGGGGTAATTAGTTAAATTATATATATTTTTTCTAATACTGACATTGTTTTGACACATGTTATAGTACATATTGCGTTTAATATAAAATAATTTTTCATTCAAAGCAGAGTAGTTGTGAAACTTAAAATTGAGATTTCTATTTATTCAAATCCAAGTTAAACAATAAAATGTAATGAGTGTATAATAATAATACATCATAGTCTAAAAAATTACTAATTGAATAACACTAAAAACCAAAAATAAGAAAAGTTTATTAGATATTTAAATAATTTGCTGACGACGCCTCATATTTTAACAAAACTTTTGCAACTCCATCAACAGTGAATTCCTAATGTACATTTTTTATTTATTGTCTAGGCCTTTAAACATTATCGTTTACATTTCAAAGACAGGTTATATTTTAAAACTTACTAATACTATATTACTTACTACTATATTACTTTTTCATACAAATTTTGAAGAAAACAATCTTATAATTTAGTTATATCATTGAATATTTTCCTCCATATCCGTAGGTACTATTAAGTTCAATACTAACTTCAATGTCTCTCATACATATCCAGAGACTGTATTATAGTACACGTCTTCAACATCTTGTAATCTACGTAATAGCACAGGATCTCAATAGTTACGACGGACTGGAATTGAATAGGATGCAACCCATTCAATTTGTAACTACTGGTTTGAGACTAAATTACTCGTATTATGTTTAATTCTAAGTACTATTCTTTAAGATTTCTCCACTTCATATAAATAATGACATATATTCGAATGGATAAATTATGAGCTTTTTTTGCTCCATTGACAATAAAGACGTAAGTCGGCAACCGGAGGTTAAAGGAAAACTTACTTATATACAGTATATTATAATAAGAATTATTTTTTTAAACTTATAACCTATTCCTAAAACTACATGATTGCCCCGAGGTTAGGATAGTAATGCCATTCTTGCTTGGTGTTCGTTCCGCGGAGTCAGCAGCGTCACTCGTTATATTATGATATTTTATCCATACAATGCTGTTGCCCCGGCGGTGTTCATTTATTTTTAATATGTAGCGCCTTCTTAACATGTTTATAAATATTATATTGTCAACAGAGGGGCAGACATTACCTCTAAATCGCCGCCAAAAAGTGTTTCCGAACGGCACGTTAATAGTGGAACAAACACAACGAGGAGAAGACGCCGGCACTTACACCTGCCAAGCAGCGAATAGACAACGTCATGTTGCACGAAGAGATGTCGAAGTACAGATATTAGGTACAGTACAAACATATTTTAATTAATAATATTATTATTACAGATAAATTAATGTATATCCAAAAATTTTAGGCTTAATTTTGCTGTTGGCAACATTAATACTAATTGACATCAATAACGAAATATATTTAGACTGTACTTTTCTACATATTTTTGAAATAGTTTAAGTTAAGAGATACTAATAATGATACTTAATAAAATTAAAGTACTCGGTTCATATATCTCTTTAATGTTATTTGGGCAAACGTTTACTAGTCCCATTATTTAACGGGCATCTAGCCAAACAAATTTTATTTGGAACAATCGTATATCAAAAATCTCATAGAAAAGTTTTATTCTTCGGACACAAATTGAACGTTAGACATTAAAATTTGACAGAAAATCTCATCTCCACTGAAGTAGATCTAGAGAACTATAAAATCAAAAATTCGAGATGATAAAATTAGTCATCCATAATTCATTAAAATTTACTCGTTTACCCTTTTTAATATAAACGATTTTTGAAAGTTTTGTTTAACAGGCAATAAAAAATACGATAAAAACCTCTACGGAGTTGGTTTGAAAGTCTTATAAAGTAGCTCAATAATTATAATTTATTAGGCTATAAAGTTTACAATTAGTTAAAGTTTTAATTAAGATCGAATGAAATAGGGGATGTTGTTGCTAGAGAAGTTTAATTTTGCTATTTACAGTCCAACCAAAGATATTGCCCATTCAGCCACTGACGAATTTATTAAGGGAGGGCATGAGAGCGGCTATTTCCTGTCAGATATTGGAGGGCGATTTGCCGATTGCATTCCGATGGGAGAAAAACGATCAGCCTGTGACGTCATCCCCATACGCTCCAAGCGGTATAATAACGAGGCGAATGGATGAGTACAGTGCGTCGCTCGTGATAGAACACATAACTTCGCTACATAGTGGAAATTACACTTGCATAGCATCAAACGTGGCGGGTTCTGAGCGGTTTACCGTACCGCTTACAGTTAATGGTACTTCACTGTTCCAGTTTAATAGTTTTGTTTGATTAAATTTATATGATTGTATTTATATAATGTATATGATTCAGTACCACCAAGATGGCGGCTGGAACCAAGCGATGTAGCTGTGGCTGCGGGCCAGGATGTCAATCTTCAGTGTCAAGCTGATGGCTATCCGAAACCCAATATAACATGGAAGAAAGCTGTTGGTAAGATAATTGTTTCTTAATATTATAACATTATACTTCAATTTAATTTAATTCATTCCGAAATAATAATATATAATTTAAACTATCAATATGTATGTTTATTGAAAGGTAACACTCCTGGTGAATACAAGGACTTCATGTTTGAGGGAACTTCACGGGTTCTTGAAAACGGCTCACTGATATTTGAACGAGTTGCGAAAGATAACGAGGGTCACTATTTGTGTGAAGCAAGAAATGATATAGGAGCCGGTCTGAGCAAACTTATCTTCTTGAAAGTTAACGGTAAGTTAAAGTAAATAATCCCTTGTATTGTTCTAACTTGTTCAAAGAACAAAGTGCTATAGAGACGCCTATTTTATAAACTCTGGCTGTAATGAGAATTCAATAGAATTATAATAAAAACCTATAACAAACAATTTGACATCGGATCCACACTCAGTGAAATTTTATTGAAGAACGCAAAGCATTTTTGTGTCAGCGTTCTCGTTGGGAAAAAGCATCGCAATGTCCTAACGATTATGACAGAAGTGCTTAAATAAAAATTCCTTTTCCTTCCTATATTTCTTTATGATTTTAAAGGAATGTAATAAATAAATAAATATTTATAGAATAAAATAGTCATCTTTTCTTTCTTGAATAAGTATTGCTATCATAAATATAAATGTAACATTAGATTATTTCTGAAACTTCTTAAAATGTTGCCAAGTTATTAGGGAAAGCGTCAGATACAGTTAACACTAAGCTTCTACCAAAATTACACTGGACAAATATAACAGCTACACAATATTGTCCGTGGATAGAATTATAAAACTTCGCAATGATATAAAGTGCCAAGTCTGTTGTGTCTAATTTTCTTTATTAACTATTGTATTGGATGAAGTTCACGCGGGAATAGAATTCCTTTTGTTAATAAATCCTCTGGAATTTTTATGATATTTCTAATAAATGTTTCTAACTTTTAAAGGTTACCTAAAAAAAATTCAAGTTACCAAGGCTTGTCTAGTTATATTTTTTTTATTAAGTCTTTATGTAATTTAATTTTATTCCAATGAAGTACATTTTATTGAAATAAAATATATTTCTGTTCCGTCCTAGTCTTTATTTTGTTAAAATAATAATCAATATTGTATAATAAAACATAGTTATTTTAAATAGTTATAAATTCAAATTCATCTACTACAGTTCAAATATAATAAATGAATATATTAAATTCAAACAATTGACGATCACATAATAGGTTACGGACTAAAAATTTCAAAGAGGATTTCAAATTCAATAGCTCAATGTGAATTTTAACGCAATATTCAGATATTTCAAAGGCCGTTAACCATTAAGAAAACAAAATGATGAAATATAAAATTGAAAACTATGGATATAAAGAGTAAAATATCTAATTCAATTCTTCGATGTTACGAATATTATTTGACTTAAAACTTTAATAAATCTTTATACAAAGGAATCTTTTACATTACAATATTAAAGTTAAATATAAAGGAAGCTTCTAAAAATAGCATCCTTAATGATCCGCATTCATATAATTACAATTCAACGAAGGTCCGCAGGTAATAGCATATAATGGTGTAATTAGAAAGTAAGCAAGGAGGAAAGTGGAATTGTGCGGAAAGGAAGCTGAGCGCGTCTGAGCAGAAAACTCAATGGCCTTCCGTCGCAATACGTCTCAGCTCTTTATTGGAAAACGAGACAGTTGGCTTCCACTAGAATAACTCCGTGTACGTGTTTGTAGTCTACGTTATTGGCTTTTGTGGAGCAAATATATCACTGGATATACCTCTCAAACATATCACGTGTAAACTGTCTGATGTCGGTATTAAAGCATAGTGACAATACATAAATGTAATTAAATTTATCACGAAAACTTATGACCTGATTCTTTTCTCTAATAGAAATTATGTACACGTAATAATTCCAAATCTACTACCTACGGCCTTAAACAGAAACAAAACTTCTAAACACACAGAGATAGTTGGAGGCATAGATCGCTTTCCAACTAACTCTAAACGTATAAAATTTCGAAGTTCAACCACGATTGAATCACAAACAAACGAAACCATCGTAAATATTTACAAGGATTATTCGTGATCCCAAAGTAAAACAAGGGTTCGATTTATGCAAAACTAACAAGTTTCTGGATGCTTCGGCACTCGTAAAGAGTTTCCTAGTTTGGCCCTCGGATGGAGTCACGTTCCCGGTCAGTTTGCAAATATTTAAGCTCCGACAAAATCGTGCTCCACCAGTTTTGTTTAGAACACCGCATGCCTTCTTTGTATAAGATTTAAACTTGGTCTTTTTCGAGCAGCTTCGGTTTAAAAATCTACCAATATCACATAGGTTTATAATTGAAATTGTCTTAAAGTTTTGACTGGTGTAAATTTTAGCCCCAGCCAGATTCCCGATGAAGAGCAAAACAGTTCAAGTAACAGCAGGTGAAGCAGCTCATCTTCAATGCGCGGCTTCAGGAGACGCTCCACTTGAAGTCAGTTGGAGGAGTCCTCATCATCACACCATCGCACATCATCTCGACCAAAGGCAAGCATAGATATAGCATATGTTGATTGAACGACATCTTTTTTTTTCATTTCTTGATTTCCGAGCGCCTAGGAAGGTTCTTTAAAAGATTCCTATCGAAAAGACCATAAAATAACAATATTATATTTGTATATATATTTATTAAATTAACAAAGATATTGCGGATGTCCATAGGCGACGGTAACTACCTTTCATCAAGTTGGCTAACTGCTCGTTTGCAACCTCTCACATTAAAAACATATATAAGAACAGAATATTGAAGCACAATTATTAATGTAATTTATTTAATTATAACAGATATACAATACGCGAGCAAGTTCTGGACGATGGTTTAGTTTCCGAGTTGAGTATTTTGCAGACTTACAGACAAGACACGGGTGCACTGACTTGTCGAGCATCCAATGCTTATGGACAAGACGAAATGCTTATACATCTTGTTGTCCAAGAGGTGAGTACATACGTGTATACTTGTTATTGGTACTTTCACTAATGAAAAATTAATGTAATGACATAAATGCTCTCACCAAATATTTTTTAGTGTCTATTATCTATAATTGCTCTCATAATTGTAGTGTTATAAGTTATGCCAACGCAAGTCAATTTAAAGCAAACGTGACAAATATCTACAAACAACTGTTGTCAATACTTTTTCAGGACTCGTATATAACGACGTGTTCTTAACATTTTCTTTTTCTTAGGTTCCCGAGATGCCAAAAAACATAAGAATTATTGATCAGCAGTCAAGGTCAATACAAATATCATGGACTCAACCATACGCTGGGAACAGCCCCATTATAAACTACATTGTACAATATAAAGAAGCTCCTGGTAAATTTAAAATATATTTTAAGTATTCTTAGGAAATAGAAATTTACTTCATGATCACTGTTAACTCAACAACACTTGTTTCTCTTTCCCATCCAAAAAAAATTAAATTATTCTCATACTTCAATATACAAAGACTTCAGAATTTAAAACTGTAAAAGTTCTTTATTTATAATTCTCATCCTAAATTGTATGTTTCATATTCCTCGTTGTTAATGTTCTTGCTATATATTTTTTTTTATTTAATTTAACAACCATACACTCCATGCCAAAATAACTTTTTAAACTGTTACGGCAAATTGTTTTACCCTACCGAATTTTTTTATTGTACTATTTTTATAAGTTACATGTTTTCCCATACATAAATAAATAAAACTCATAAAAACAATAAATTTGATCTGTACTTCCAGAACCATGGCCAACGACTCCTCAAAAGGTTATAGTCCCTGGCAGTGTGACGTCATCCAGTGTCCAGAACTTACAACCAGCGACGTCTTACCACTTGCGAATCATTGCTGAAAACCGTTTGGGCCAAAGCGAGCCCAGTCAACTGGTACAGGTTACTACTACTGAAGAAGGTACGTGTAGTGAAATTATCAAAACAGACTTTACTCCAAGAGACATGTTAATGATAATATAGTTCTACGATTATACTATACGAGTACTATTTAAGTAACTCTGTCATAGCATTTAACAGCTAGAACACTTCTAAAGCGAGGGAGTGAGTGAGTGAGTTACATAATAAGCTTGAAACGAGTACATTTAGAATAAATTTAAAACATTATTTGTCCTTAAGCGAAATGGTACGTCTTTCCTTCAATATCAAATCACTATCATATGTATATCGTTGTAAATGATTTACAAGAAAATATTTATAATACATTAATGTTCTTTAAATAAAGAAGTGGTAAATTTAAAATTTGCCCCATTTCAACATTTCTGAGCTCGCATAATCTTATATATATGGTCTTGGACAAAATTTTAATTATATTAATCAAAAGTTAGGAAATCGTTTAGCTTCATTACATTTATACTAAAAAATCTAATTTTAATTATTTGAATAATATTGTTAATTATTTCCCTTTCAGTACCTAGCGGTTCACCCATAGATGTGCGAGTAGAAGCTAAAAGTTCAACAGAGTTAACAGTTAGCTGGGATCCGCCTCAGCGAGATCTATGGAATGGAAATATTCTTGGATATTACGTTGGATTTCAAGAAGTGAGTATTAAGCGCCTCTCCTGCATGAGGGGGAGGGTTTTAAATCTGACAAGTGCCAATATGATTTTTTCCGAATTATATGTACTTTCTAAGAGACACCACTGACGGAGGGTGAAGAAAAACATCGTGAGGAATCCTGACTTTACAATTCCAAATTAAAAGTTTAAAATCGCCAATCCGCCTTAAGCAAGTGCTGTAATTAATGTTCTTACCTTCTCCGTGTGAGAAAAAACCTTTGCCCAACAGTGGGCAAGAATATTCTGATAATGATAATAATTATATATAGCTTGCTTAAAACACTTGGATATGTATAATTTCTGTCTACTAAGGGTGTACAGTAGAAAAATACATGACTTTTCTATAAAAATATTGAAATTCTAATTTCGATATAAAAACCAGAATAATATAATCTGTTTCTTCCATTCCCCACACAACAGTTAAACAGCAACAGCACGGTACTAAGTGCGAGTGGTCCCGGCGGGGCTTCCTACACCGTACGTACAGTTGAAGGAACGGGCTCAGCACGCGCAAGAACTACACTCGCAGGGCTACAGAAACATGCTGCATATGCTGTTGTCGTACAAGCTTATAACAGCAGAGGCGCTGGACCAGCTAGCCCACCTACCACTGCTACCACCTTGGAAGATGGTAAGATATAAAACTACTAGGAAATTTGCTTGCAGAAGATAATTCACTTTAAAAAAAAAATTGTTAATATCAATGTCATTTCAGTGCCTAGTCTCCCACCTGGAACACTTAACTGTAGCGCGCTATCATCACAATCGGTTCGTGTAACCTGGGAACCACCACCTATGCGAGGTAGAAACGGAGTTCTGCAAGGGTATAGAGTAACGTATGCACCTGTTACTGATTGGTATGGTGAGTTATACTCTAAACTATAAACCATATTATACTATTATACAGAATATTTGATATGAAGTTAATTTGTAACATATTTTTAGGAAGCGAAGAAGCTGTGACAAAACAAATATCAGGATTGCACACAACTTTATCAGGATTACGTCGTTATACCAATTATTCGGTGACTGTATGTGCTTTTACTGCTGCGGGGGATGGAGTTAGGGCTGCTCCCGTTTATTGCCATACTGAGGAAGATGGTATGAGTAGAAAATAATAGTAGAAACAATTTGTTTTATTATACCAAAAAATATTTCAATGTTCATTAAAATTGTTATAATTCTGTCTATTTTTAAGTACCATCTGCACCCGCGGATATAAAAGCTGTTGTATCATCGCGTAATAAGATCTTGGTGTCCTGGCTACCTCCAACTTCACCTAACGGGGTGTTAGTCGGTTACACCCTTTATATGAGCGTCATAGAAGATGGGAGGGAGGTTAGTAATACGAAATCCACAGCCAATAATTATCCCCACATAACTTCAGGAATATTTAACAGACATAGGAAACGTGAATAAAATCAGAATTAATGCAGACACTAAATATTGTTATAACTCAGCCAACATACAACTTATTCTTCACAAGCTACACTTATTTCTTAACATATTATGTACGATGTTTTTCCAAAGACAGGATTATTTATTTAACGCCTACCACCCTTGTACGTTTTTGTATATTTAAATCATTTATTTGCTACACACATACATTACATAGATTATACAGAAGAAAATAATTAAATTTAAAGAATACAGTGTAGTAGCAAGGTTGCATCTTAGTATAAGCTGTGCTAATGCACAGCACTGATTTTCAGATGGCCCCTGAATATTGGGTAAACAAACATAAATGCGTGCACACGAAAATAAATAAATGAAATAATAAGAATTATAATTTTATTTAGGTATTCACTCATATCGTTCTTTATTATGAATAACTTCAGCATATTTTCTGTACAGGAGGGAACTCACAAGCGTATGTTGTCTCCACGCACATTATCTCATGAGACGTCTCGATCGCCTCCACGAGCCATTCATGAGTTTTGGGTTTCCGCCTCAACCAGACTCGGAGAAGGTGATTCCACCAGGGTTGTCAAAGTACTGCCATCAGATACCGGTAAATAATCCTATATTACTAGTACTAAACACCATATTCTTTTATAATCATTCTTCTGTGAGTGTATATGTCACTGAACTTCTCTCAAACGACTGGACCGATTTTAATGAAAAATTTTTGTGTGTATTCAAGAGGATCTAGCAATTGTTTACATTTACAACTTTGTCCACTGGGCAATTTTTTTTTAGTTAATTTTTAATTTATTAGTAGTTGTTGATACAATCGTTTTTTTTGACATTAGATTTGACAACTAATTAATATGTCAATCGTTCTGTCGCACTTCAAAACACGGAGACTTATGGCTTTAATAGGTAAACTCCAAAAATATAAATAAAAAAACGTAACAGATATTTCTTGATTATAGGGCAATACGAAGTACCCCGGGTCTTCTAGTAACCATATAAACCTCTACATATAACCCTACTTGAAAATTTGTTCCAGTTCCAGCAAGAATAACTTCATTTAGTCGAAGTATCGTCACACCCTGGAAGGAAAATATATCTTTAGCTTGCAACAAAGTGGGTGTTCCAATACCATCGACGACATGGAGAATGAATGGTGCAATTCTTGAATCGACTTTAAGAAAAAATGTTACCAGTGATGGCACTCTGATCATTAGGTATAAAATTTATCAATAAAACGAATGTTATATATAAATACTCTACATTTAATAAGTTTCCTTTATAATAAATATTTTTTTTAGCATGACACAATACGCTGATAGTGGAAATTACACGTGCCTAGTAGAAAATACTCATGGTCGTGACGAAGTGACTTACGGTGTAGAAGTGAAAGTACCCCCTCAACCGCCCGTGTTAGCTGTGGTCGACTCATACGCTGATTCACTACACTTACAATGGAGCGATCAAGGAGATGGTGGCAGTCCTATTTTAGGTAACAATTTGGTACTTAGAATTTATCAGTAGCAAAAACTTTATTAAAACTCTAACATAAAAAGCAAAATTCCATCTTAATAATATTAATACCGAATATATATCGTTAATTATAATTATTGGCAAAATGATTCATACCTTGAGAGTTAAAATTATCACGTAACTTGGTTACTTTAATAAATCTTTACATTAGGCCTTCGTTACAAAGCCATATTTAGTATGCGAAGCAGCTCTGAGTTTGTATTTAATTTACAAATTACATTCTACTGCCACTACATGAAATAAAATTAAGCTATTAATTAAATATAACCAGGATACGTTATAAACTACAAGCGTGAGCACGGTGACTGGGAGGAGCTTCAAGTAGAGGCTGGTACATCTGAGCACGTGTTGCCTAACCTTTGGTGTGGAACAAGATACCAGCTATATATCACTGCCTTCAACCGCATCGGTACTGGCCTACCATGCGATATCGTTCATGCGTATACCAAAGGCACTGGTGAGCATTTCGAACTCCTTTCATCTTAAGGGTATCTCATTTTCTGAGGTATCGTATATGAAATTCGGATGAAAACCTTCCTTAAAAATTACCTCAATTACGAGGATGACAGTTAACAAGTATTGTATCGATCTATCTGTAAGTGGAATAGAAATAGAAAGATTATCATTAATACAAAAATCAAGATTCGCTAAAACTGTGCAAAAAAGTCTGTGTGCTTAATGTATTCATTATATTTATCAAGATTGATATATTTATTGATTGATATATTTATCAAGATAAGTTTGTTATTACAACGAAAATGGTAATTTAGTTTATGATTTCCAGTGCCCGTGAAACCAAAGCACTCCCAGATGATAACTCTCAATACGACGACTGTGACGGTGTGGCTCGACTCGTGGGGTGACGGAGGCTGCGGGATACTGTACTTCGTTATAGAGTACCGGGAGATAAGTCAATCACAGGTAACTTATAATTAAACAATCAAAATAACTTTGGTACCAAATTTAAATATTCAAATCAAATTAATATGTTAATACTACATACTCCCGACGTTTCGGTTACTTTGCAGCAACCGTGATGACGGGCAAACGAGATGAAAATGATAGTCTTAGAAATTATTAAATTCAAACCTTTTTAATCTTCTTGATAATTTCAGATTTTATTATCTAGTTATTGTTATTTCGTAATTTTCTTGTTTGTACTAATTCATACGAATTTTAAATTGGTAAATTACTTTAAATACGGTCTTATTTTTAATTTTCCTTTGAATAATATAAATTTATTATTGTTTATGTCAAGATTATTCAGATATGAATGAATATGTTACATTTCAGTGGAGATTAGTCTCAAACAGCGTGCAAGCAACAGAAAGAGTATTTAGTGTAACAGGATTGTCACCCGCCACTCACTACCAGCTACGGATCACAGCACATAACAACGCGGGTCACGCTTTAGCACTGTATAATTTTACTACACATTCATTGAGTGGAAGTAAGTTCTAGAGTTACAGATATATCATTATTTTGCGACTGAAAAATATAAAGAAGCTAAAGTGACGATAATAGTCTTTAAATATTGATTCTCCTCTCTAAACCATAAGGAAAAAATTCATGAGTGGAGCTCAAATCCTTTTCATGCTTGAATTGAAAGTGTCAGCCCAATAATGCCATATTATACATATTAACATATAAAACTTTTATGTTGATTCTTTATAATTGTATACATATTGATATAATATACACGATCGCTTTTTTATGACAATTGTATTACCGCCATCTGTCGTCACAGTTTCCAAACTAAAATTCATAACAATTTCTTTACGCAAAGTTACGCCAAGTTACAAATATATACTTATATTAATCAGAATACAGAAAGATTTGTTCCATACCAATTCTATATATGTGTAACAGAGCACCTATTAAATGATATGTGATATAGGTAACTTAAAATAATAAATCATAATTCCCGTTTCTTTATTACTTAAGTGTTGGACGGTGAAGTCTCCCCTGCAATACCAGCGGCTGGTCCTCGTTCTTTGGGAGGTGTACGTGTATTACTACCGGCAGCGCTGTCTCTATTGGTGCTAGCTGCGCTTGTAGCGATTGTATTACTAATAAGAAGGAACAGTTAGTATCGTTTATTCAAATATTTGCTTAGTCCATTCAATCCACATTTCAAATAATGCTTGCTCCATGGATATTCCGTTATTTATGATTAATGTCCACAATGATTCGAAACCGAAATACGATCACATAAAATTTTATATAATATATAATTGTGAAACTAATATTTTTCGCTTAATATTACACGTATTTTATTATTTTAGTACTACTTTTCAGTTGCTTTTCAGCAACCGTGATTGCGAGCAGACGATATGACGGTTGTATGTAGTTTTAATGTAATAAAATACGCGTAGTAATCCAAACAATATTAGTTTCATTTCAATGAATACTCGCCAAAGTCTTAGATCTCATTATGTATGATTATTTGATAGGATAGTATTAAGCAAACTATAATCAATATCAGAAGCAGGTCCAATAGAGACAACAGCTCCTGAGACAGGAGTGGGCGAGTCACCGTCCGTGGCCCAGCTCCAGAATAAAGTGAATCGAGACCAACAATACCTTGCCACACGAGCCCAACACCCGCCACCACAACACCATTACAAACACGCTTCAAATGGTTCGTTGGGAATCACCAAAATACACTTTTAATAAGAATGTTTAGTAAATAAAATAAAAATTGGTAAAAATAAGGCAAAAAGATATTGTCAAAGAATCAAAAGATCGTGTTGATAATCGTTTCATTAAGAAATAATTTGGTTTTTGCAGAGTCTAAATATCTTTTCTACTCTTATTAGGAAAAACGATACAAACATTTGTTTTCAGAATACATCGAAGACATCTGCCCGTACGCTACTTTCCAACTGACCAAACCGAGCGCCTACAGCGAAAGCAGCTATAGTGGCAACGTGTACAGC